AAATGTGTAAATTGTGATTCACCAGTGGCCCTTTGTGAAATATATTTTTGGAAAATATAATTATTTCAATCGTTTTTCTATTTATTTCTTTTTGTAGCACTTAAATAAGGCGACGTTAGATATAGGTTAGAATAATCAACGATTCCAGCCGAGTTTAAGCTGACGATATGATAGCTCCAAGCTAGCAGTAGTCTGTCAGTTATGAGATATCTATTTTATATTTTACCAGCTTTACGCGGCTATGAATTTGAAAGTATACCATTGGCGATGGCAGTTGATTGAGCACAAAATAAATTACACTTTGAAAGTGAATGTAGCTTTATTTGTGATCCATGACAATAACAGAAAATACAGGTTGTGCGACTTATAATCGTGTTTGGTCGATAACGATACCTCATTTCCATGGTAACAGGTATTCTGTTATCAAGGAAAATTGTCAAAATGCACTACTGATCTTATTCTTTACTTCTTATATACACATCGGTCCACTTATCTTGAAAATATTCTTTCCTAAAGTACTGTTTATTTCCCTTTAATAGCAATACGGATGGTGCCTCGTTTCCATGGCAACGAGGTATTTTCTTGGATGGCACCATATCCAAATTGATCAGGGGATGCTACTGTACTTGTGTGCCAAGTTTCATGCTTGCATCCAAAAGTGCATGATTTTACCTCTTATCCGCTGGACTATAATAAAACTAAAATGAGGAAAATCGGAATAAAATTATGGCCAATCCTAACCTGGTACACATACTACGGGAGTACCTTCATTTTATGAAATCAGAGAACCTGTTGTTAGTACATCCGATACAAATGAGAACCCGTTTTTTTAGTTTTGAATTTCACCACTGTCTGCAACTGTATGGCTTATGTTTCATAACCTGGTATGATTTTAGCTGTTCAACAAACATGAATATTTACGGAACCGGGGTATCTAGAATCTAGATATTCTCCGAATTAATTTATAACAAAATCAAATAATTTTTTATTCGATTTTATCAATAAACAATTTCAGAAGCGCGATGATCTAAATTCTACACAAATTGATTTATTGACAGTAATGGACAATTTTCATGATTTTACTCGATATCATATATTTCTGGAGGTCCATGAATATGGGGGAAAAGAAAGCCGATAATTAGGAGTAACTCGATATTCCAGAAAGACGAAATATCCACGGGTTTGTGTTAATTAAGGAACAGTATTTAAGGAATATCTAGGAGTGTTTTGTTTTTTCAAACAGTGATTTTGTTAATTCGTGCTAATCATCAATCTGTCATAAAGTTTCTAACACACAAACGTCGTTTTTTTTTAACTTTTCAGTCTAAGAAACATAAAGAATTGCTTTATTCTAATATTCTTTATTGTGAAAATAAATTTGGGTTCACCACAAAAATAAAATTAGAACTTGGTTGTCTAAATGTCATCTGAAATTTAGTTTGTTACTGCAGTTGTTTGTTTGAAACCATGAGTTCTTTTTACATATTCTTGTATCAACCGGTACCTCCTTGAGGTCGAAACTTATCCGGTTGAATCTGGATGATATAATCTGTTGTATGTTTGATCAATAAAAGCTTGTCACGTAATATCAAACTTTGGTATTACTCAGTGCCCAGCAACAACAAATTATATTGATAATCCCGTGATACTGGGAAAGAAATGGCGATCAAAAACGGTAGTTTTATGAAAGGCGAACACTTGGGACCTAAAGGTTATAATGTGTAAACTCACACATTTCCAATAAAAAATGTCGGTTTTTATGCTTCAAAAAGAAATAAATAATTGGAATTTTTGGCAAATATTCGTAAGAGTTCATTCCAGTGCAAGATGACAAAGACAGCCAAAAAGTTTTTAAAAAAAATGAGCAAAAATAATTTTACGTTTACATTTATTAAATTATGTAATTTTATGAATATCAAAAATATTAAATTTTATTAAAATATTTTATAGAATACAAAACAAATGATTGGGTTTTTTATTGGTTCGGGATGGTAAAAACAATCAGAAAACAAACTTCATAAATGAAATAATATACAGTGAATGTCAAATCGAATGCTTCATACTGTAGTGCGTGATAATACCTAGTGGTATAGAATAATCTACAGAATATTCTCGTATTTGTAAGTTGAAACTATATATTTTGATCAATCAATTCCTGTGAATTTCAGATAACAATTCAGTTAAATTCATTTTTCCTCCATACATGATGTGCATTATTTGTACATATTTAGCGTATCATTGTGTAATGAAGCCTTCAATTTAAAATCCTGTTGTTTTGAAGTTCTTACATTTCATTTAAAAAACTATGTAAGTCGATTTTTTTTTAATTTGATGAGAATAATATGCGTTGGATTTATCATTTTAAACCTTGTGAAATTGGAATACATTTAACATTGATAGGCATGAACAATAAATAAAAACAGGAGACAGAAACAGATTTTGGTTTATTCGTGAATATCGGCTACGTAATTGAATTTTTCTATTATTACGGCATAGATATTTTCTCCGAATAACACGTATTTTCATACCTTAAACTTACGACCTTGTTTACCGAGTACAGGAATGTAGATCTTAGATCAGATAAGATATCGCAGTGTAAATTGTGAATTTTATTGCTGCAAAGGGAAAGAATTAAATGTTCGATTGTCTGAAACGTTTTACTGCATATTATGCGACATAAAGAAAAGTTTGAGCTCTTCTTATCTTACTTACGATCGCAATTTTTGTTAGATTAATTTGGCGTAAATTTCATTACAGTAGAAATATCATAACAGATTACAAATTTGAAACGTTGAAATTCTTTGGTGTTTTGAAATATTTTATTTACGTCATATTTTGAAAAAACTTTAGGCGATATACTGTACCTGTTTGTGCTTGTCAAAATTAAGTAACGCTCATAGACAGGTTAACCAATTCGTCTTATATCTGATAAACAGATAGGAACCATCAACACAATTTGGCTTGTATGATAAATTTATTCTAAATCTGTATATGTGGTAGAAATTATTTATAACCCAAAATCGAGTAGAATTTTTCTATTGGCGATTCTGGAAAAAGTCATGCATACACGGGCGGTCCTACATTCACTAAAGTTGGGTAATGGAAAACATATTTTTCTTGCAATCATAAAGGTATTGTGTAGTATTTAAATTTCTATTTGCGTAATTACTGCTTGAAATATTACCAACCTAAATGTTTTTCTACTTTTCATATCCAATAGTTAAAAATAATTAGAGTGTTTTGATTACAGATTCTCCAAGTCTTTCAGTTTTGAAGCCATGTTAGTCACCTGGTGTCGCTGCATTACAGCGCATCAAAATCATCGCGAGTGGCTGTTGAGGTTATTTATCATGGGTGGATTAAAGATATTAATAGGGTAATTTAAACGAAATAGATTTTGGGAGGCAATCCCACTTACCTTGCCTGGTCAAATAGAGGACACATCTTATATACCAATGTCAAATGGGTCGAAAAAACTTCGAGTCTAATTATATAAACATAACAATGACTGATCAGTAATTTTATCACGATCATAACACACGTAGCTAGTTAAGGTTATGAATACATTACGTCTCAATATATGTATAAACATTACAACTGCTATTGCCAAGGTCCAATGATAGTGAAATAAAAAGTTGAAATCGTAATTTGACCAAAATAATTTAATTTGACAAAAAACTGAAGATAAATTTGAAAAGAAAATTCGTCATTTCGAATTCTTTCTATTTTTTATAATATATTCATTATTGAAGCATTGATAAAAAAAACTTGCAAATCCCTTGTTGTTCTCTCAAACTATCGTTGATTTGTTTTAATATTAATTTTGTCAATTGGCTATATATCCATGTCGGACACGTCTTGCCAGCATATCGTAACGCATGATCGCATATTGTGCTGTCGAATCAAAAGCGGACCATACTTCCAGGGAAGCTTAAGACGATACGTCAATTGCCAATCGTTAATGGTGTATGTAGAGATTTTGTTTTTCAAGACTTGTTTTTTAATATTGTCAAATGTCTCTAGGATAAATAAAACTGCTAAACATGTCTACATCTGTGAATAATTTTGTAACATTGAACCACTTTTGTATATCTTTCTATTTTCAATCTGTTCTTAAAAATTATACCAATATATTGGGATAATGGCGCTCCAGAAGTTTGTGTACCAATATGGAGATAACTAATTTTGTTCGACTACTTTACATCAAGTTGTGCGAAGGGACTTAAACCTATGGGCAGGGGGTATAATCACTTGGCTAACACAGACAGTACCCGAACTCGTAATAGAACTAAAATAAGGAAAATCAGAATAAAATTATGGCCTAACCCAAACCTGGTATACACACTACGAAAGTACCGGCATAATGATATACTGATAAGAATTAAATAATGAAGCTTGTTGAGGTAACAATTCTTTTCCTGAAGAAACGAATTTAAATTGCTTTCGTTATCAATCCAAATCGATAGACAGTGGTTCGAATCGTTTATTTGTTTACGTAATTTAACTGTTCCAGAAAAGTGCAAACACGTCATCTAAAGTTATCGTCAAACCGTATATTTTGTAGACAGGAGACATCGAGTTCAAATATTGTACAACTTAGAATGTTGAAAGGTTCGATTAGTAAATTTACATATCAAAGATTTTTTTGGCGTTAAGTCTCTGATTCAACTCTTCTTCATATAATCAATTGCCAATGATGGGAACTTCTCACTATTTCTAACATTTTTGATAATCAGCGCTGGGTAATTCGCATGTTGAAAGCCTCGACCGGTGAACCTTTACAGCACTTCATTAAAGATGTTTTTGTTTATCAGTCTCTCACCCGATTATCAGTCTTAGAATTAATTGTAAGCTAACATTATATTATAATTTAGCCACTGTTTAAAACTCATTCATGAATATCTTCTCACTATTTCCATCGTTTTTAATAATCATGCAAAGAGTATGACGCCTTTCTACAAAATACAGCATAAACTATACCATACTTCGACCATTTCCACAATGAAATAACTTTATTAGATAACCAAGTAATAAAATAATAAAATGAAAATGCAAAACAAAACCATTTTTCAGGCATGCTTAGGAACTGAATGTAAAGCAATAAATATAATTATAATACGCAGTTAAGATGACACCATGAAAGAGCTCAGCTTAAAAAGAATATCAATTATTGGGCTTTGCTTTGTCACTTATACATCTGAAACCATTGTAAAATAAATGCAGTATCTTGCGTTATAGAAATTAATTGTTTGAAAATAAAATTAGCTCGTTTTGATACCTTTAATGCTTTTTTTTTAAATTATACAACATCTCTTTAACTTGCATCTCCTAAAGCAACACAGTTCAACACCAGGAAAATTACAATCGTTAATTAAATTTAACTCGTTTGCAAACGCGGTACAATATTTCTGCGACAGCTTTCTTTCTGATTCATTACATTGACTGTTTCAAGTGTTTTTGCAGTCAAATCTTTGATTCTTCGTTCTATTGATGGCATTCACCAAAACCATCATCTTTGCAGTGATCCTCCACGTCCAGCGTGAGACAATTTGTTGACGACGCCGCACGGTTTTTTGTTTCATGTATGGCGTTTCATATGAAGAGACAAATGATCTGATCTACTAAAAGCTCTTTCACAAAGAGTACATTTGAAAGGACGATGTCCGGTGTGCTTACGAAAATGACGTGTGAGTTCATCTGAACGAGCGAACCTCCAACCGCATCCAACCCAGCTACAAAGATAAGGTTTCTCTCCTGAAACAAAGTTTATATATATTTAAAATTGAATTTAAACCCAAATATTACATAATGAAAAAAGTACGCATCAAACGCTTATTGTTCTAATCTATATCATATAAAAGAAGATGGAGGATAGAACAAGATATCAAAGATAAATATACAGCATACAGCGCAGAACTTAATACTTTCCTAAAGATTCTTAATCCCTTATTTATTTAATAAAGAGGCTACATTAGCATTCTAAGAATGTATAAATAAATATGAAATTACCATGTAATTTCAGAGTATCATACAACTAAGCTTAGCATCCCGGATTAAAGATCAACTCGAGTGTTTTATAAATAATCATTTGAGTATTAAAGCGTACTTAAATTATTTGTATATTTTGTCCTCTAATAATCCGGATAGTTAGGTGATGGGACTCTTTAATGGGGGTATTATTTCTCTCATTTTTAGCAAAAAATGAACTCCTAATAAGTTCAGGCAATCTTCCGTTTACCAAGAATTTTCTTTTTCCAGTTTCACTTGTGATAGCATCACATAAGTTCAACCTCATTTTAATAAATCTTTGCTAAAAGCGGTTATTTTGGTCACACGATCCATGAGGATATTCAATTCTATCTCTAGTTTCTACGTCTGCTTCTGACTCGAACCAATTATATTTCTTGGGAATGCAGATATCAGAATGTTAATTAAGCTTAAAACATTTATATTCAAAATTACCTGTATGTGTTCTCATATGAGCTTTCAAATGTGAACTTTTATTATAAGTTTTGCCGCATCCTCCATGTTCACAAACATGAATTGTTGCTTTTCTACGTCTTGTACCAGTTCTTCGTGGCTTTTTTACGGTCGATCTTTCCACTTTTACTGCTAGAGGATGGATACATGAACCATCAACTTGTTGGTTAAAAATATTTGTTGGTATTGGGTTCTGAAAATGGAATAAAACTTGATAAAAATTCATGATAAAATCAAAGAATAATACACAAATTACGATTGATGTAAATTTGATTGTTAAATTGGTTTGTATACACTAAAATAAAACATGACAGGTTTAGTGGGAGTCTGATGGATGCCATTAAATAAGAGCATCAGTATGTTAAAATTCAATAGTAAGAGTTAGAAAAAATCGAATGTTTGAAATAACGGTAATATTTTTCTGTCGGTAATGAACAGTAATAAATCTTCATTCACAATTTTATTGTATTCATAAAACAAATATTTTATCGACGTGATTTTTGTATAACGTAATGTATTTAAGATGCAGTAAATCAAAATTAGAATAATCTCGGAATTGGCGTTTTAGCAAAATAAGTAAATTTAATGATATTTCTTAGTAGCTCTGAAGGAACCATTAGTTAAAAAGAAACCTATTTTTTCAACCATTGTCCGATTTAATTAGGTTTTGCAATGGAACAAATTAAGACTAACCTTTGCTTGAAGAAGATTGTGATTGAGAGGATCAAATGCAGTATTGGAATGCTGAAATCTTCCGTATTGTTGAGAATTGTAAAAGTACGAGTTTTCCCCTTCGTACGCTGTTTGTTCATTATAGTTTGAGGCATGGTTTGTTGAAACCGAAAAGTTGCAATTTGGTTTAAACATTTGCTCATTATTTGTCGAGTACGGTGACCCAGTATGGTTTTGTTGAAAAGATGTTGCATTATAGGCAGATTTGCCACATTCAGTACTGTATTGTTCATAACTTTGACATTCACCATAAAAGATTGAATCGCTCGGCGAAATTGGTGGAGTTATGGCTCCAAAGGATCCATGGCAGTATGCGGGAGGACTTGATGAATAGTCGGTACTCTGAACATAGTTCGTTGTTTGATAGTCTGATGACGGTTGGCAATGTTGTATATTCAACAAATCAGTTGCATGAAATTGTTCATTATGAATCGGTGGAGAGCTGCAGCTTTGCGTTTGCTGCATATGGTGCTCATTTAGCATGCATTCAATTTCGTTCTGAGTCGATGAAAAACATGGCGACGACGCTTGATGGTTGTCGAAAAATTCAACTGGTGATTGTCGAGACGCCGGAGTGTCTGGGAAAGTGTGGGGAACATTTGCTTGAAATTCGTTCAAAGGAGATAAAAGTTCGGCCATAAAACTCTCGGGTATCTGCGGTAAATCAGCGCCGTTTATTCCGGTGAAGGTTGGCGGTGATTCTCGACATTGTTCGTCATCGAGAATGAATTCAAGATAATCTGAATCGTCAGACAAAATTTCCGATAAATCTGGCAGCGGATCGAGTTTGTCAGGCTGTTGTTGAATCACGTCAAGAGTCATTTTTGCAGTAAATAAGACTGATTTAAATTATATATCTACTCTATGTACGATCGATGCTGCTATAAAACAAATGGTTAAAAGTTGATCAAATTGTCAGATACTGTTTTCATATTAACACAACTTTAATCTCAAATTCATACGATTTCATCCTGTAACAAGAGGCGACAAAATACTATTCTTATTGGTTTGTAGGTTGAACCACAATTTTATAGTAAATCATTCGAACACCTTATACCACTACAAAAACTAATCGCCTTTACGTAATATTGTTTGATTCGTTGTAACACGTGCAGCAATCAATTACTACGAGTTGTCTCCTCGGCGAACTATCTGCTAATGATTGTATGATTCCGTCGCGCCGCTTTATTACGAAGTAGCGAATTCCGATGCTAAAAATAACTGCTCTAGTGCAAAGAACCCCTTTCTTTCCTTTAACAATGATGGTTCGAGTATTCTTTTTTGCAGGCGCAACGAGAGAAATTTGTTTAGTGAATTGGCAATTCTCCCCGCCTGCGTAGCAAAAAAAAAGGTTATAGGATGTGTAACTTACTATATGAATTCATTCATTTTTTATATACGTTCAATGAATCCGTTGTTAAATTTTATGATGAAGTTAAATACATAAAATGTAATTTAAACCGACTGTTGTTGCTGTTACGAATATAGTATGACATAATAGTTTTCTTTGTAAATTCAGTGTTAAACTTATACGACAATTCACAGATTTGTACTTTTCGAAAATATTACACTTTCAAAGATTACATGTCATCATTAGGACTACTTATTGCAGATGAATGTAAGAAAGATTCTTCGGAATTGAAAAAGTTCTGATAAATGTTAACATTTCGTATTTAAACATGATAGCCATTTTCCGACAGTGCACTTTCCAGCAGTAAAACTGCCGCCAAATAATACATGGAAAACTTCATATAAGAGTACCCAAATTCATTTGAAAAAAAATTTCATATTTGGTATTCTCAATCCATCGTGATTTCTGACTAGCACTATGCCCTTATGGACATTTTCATTGTAAGAAATAATCAGTGTTTAATTATTCATTCTGTGTACAGTAAATCAAAGCAGCTCTTTGTTATCGCTTATCAGCAGCCACAGTAAGCAGGTGGAAAAAGTTGAGATTTCGTTGAACAGCCGTCTCGCGACACTTTGTTGCAAACTTGTGATAATTACTGGTCTGGTGTATACTTATTTAAGATACTATTAAGTGAAACTCATTATGATAATCGCAATAACCACTATGACATGACCGCATCAAATCAATGCAGTCTAGTCTATGAGAATTGCAAACAGTTCTTAATGCTCACAGTTTGATATGTATTTTCCCATTTTACTTTGCACCTGTCTCGAATAAGCTAATAAATTTGTTCAGTTTTACAATTTGGAATAATTTTCCCTTTTCTCTAGACTGGTCTTGTTGGAACTAAAGTATTTGTAAGCGTTAATTTGTACAGCTTTAAATGATTATATACGCTATCAATCCAAATGTTGTTAATGAAAGCTGGTATCGTACCATTACAATAGCTACAGGTGAACCTAAATGTTTTAAATCTTTTAGCAAAAAGGAATTTTAAATATGTTTCAACTTGACAATATATTAGGTCAAATTTTTAATAAAAAATACAATAACTCTGAATAAAAACTATAGATAGATGTGGTTTCCGTCAGAGACGTTTATTTACGAATTCTTTTTATGAGAATGTATACCGTAGTTGATATTTGAAATACAATAATAAAAGAATATAAAACCACCCACACGTCGGACCAAGCGACATCATGTTTGTTCTGCAAATGTTAAGTTTCAGCCAAACATCTACCTAACAAAGAAATAATTATTGTCGGCTGCATATAAATTATCGTGTATAGTCGCACAATATCAGACGCTTGGCGCTGTAATGTAAATAATCAAACTCCGTTTTAATATTTGAGAACCGTTGTATATATATCACGACGTGCTTCTATATGTCTTTTCTACGTTATCTACAAAACTTCTGAGCCAGTGAATATGCAAACGAAAAGTTAATTTGAAAATCAATTTCCTTATTATATATATTATAAAATATGAGGTCCGGATGTCTTGTTCGTCATATGAAAGTTCATTGGCATTTATCTTCCAAACAACATTTAATGTCCGTCTGATTTTAGCTTTTTACTATGATTTCTAGTATTTTTATTAGTAGGCCTAGTCGTCTTGAATATGCTGAAAGCAAATAGTTCCGTGGTCTCTAAATCATCCAAGTAGACCTAAAACAAAAGCGAAACGAGTGTATTCAAAGTTAAACAGATTTCAAATATATAGTCATTTTAGTAAGGCGCGGAATTCTATTTTGTTTATAACTTATAATTTGATATCTGATTGTCAATGCAACTAGCTAAAATAAATATTAAATATGATCTAATGAAAAACTTCACAAACTTACTGTCTGTATTTTATTGGATAGCTGAAACTAACCTTGACCTGGCAATTCTCTTTAATACACTTTATTTGTTTATTTATTCGAATTCCATTTCAGTAATCATATCAAATTGTTTTAAAATATTTCTATTACTATCACCACTCCTATTAAGTGAATGCTAGTTTGCAATCACATTGTATGGATAAAGATAGTATCTGTGAGATAAAAATAATTTAGTATTCCTATTAAAAACAAAAATTTCCTAAACTCGTTTCGCAGAATGTGTTTTTGTCTGTTAGAATATTTTAAACGTAAGTTGACTAATATTGTCCCTTGTTTTTTTTACCTTAAAATGAAAGAGTTCACTCTGAGGACAAATTTTTATTTTTGAATAACCTCAAATTACCAATAAATATACTACATTCGAAACCATCAGCGATGAATATTTTAAATGGAATATTATTTGATGTCCCAGCTAATTCCGTTTTTGCCTGAACTATTTTTATCGTTCGCTATTCTGATAAACTACTTTCCAATAAGAAAGAAAAAAGAAAACATTCTATTTTAAAAGAAAGGAAAATTGAAAGTATCAGGCTAAAATGTTGATATTGATTTTGCAATAATCGCGGCGGAGAGATATCCACGTGGTACTAACATAAATATAGCAATCGTTTAGCATTTCGCTGTGTCGACTTAAATATAAAATGGTATAGACTTATTTTTGTTCTAATACAAAATAAACACCGGCACGATTAATGATTTTAAAAAAATGATACTTTTAAGTTTTGTAACTATTTGAATGGAATAGTTTTGAAAATACGCAATATAAAAATCCAAACTCAAATATTTAAACAGCAGTAGAGGCTACGCAAGACTAATTCCCAATCTATCCTCAAGGCCTTTGCTCTAGAGCAGGGGTTCTCAACCTGGGGTTCGCGAACCCGAAGATTTCAGGGTGTACTTGGATGGAAGTCGAATTTTTGTGTGTTGCTGTTTTTCAATATCCTTTATTACTACCAGAGGAAAATGCGTGCCGATTGAAACTGGATGCCAATTGAAACGTGGATTTTCCCTGATCTTGCGTTGTTGTGATTGTGACGCAACAATGTGAAATTCACGGCTTCGCAGGCAAACTGGAATTTCCAAAGACAGCGTGCTGCGTGCATTGGAGAAAGTGAAGTCCTTATTGAAACTTGAGAGGGATTTCAAGAATTCATTAGTTAGGCGGAGGACTACGGCAATATTAGTAACAGTGGAAGTAAATTTAGTTACATCTGGTCAATATATTGTTGTTTCAACAAATTGTTAGTCAATATAACACAACTTTGTTCGGTGTCAGAATACCGGGGGTTCGCGTTGATTGTTTCGAGACTCGGGGGGTACTTGACAGAAAAAGGTTGAGAACCCCTGCTGAGTCTAGCTAGTGGATCCGTGTGCGTATAATAGTAGGATACTGTAGCAGGAATAGACATACATTGCTATGCAAAGTGTTAATATGCAGCAGGACGCTTGAATTGCATAGTAAAATATTTAACTTGTGCTATGGATTGGGTCTCTATGGTAACCACTGCTTATCCTTCTTCGATTCCGTCGCGTCGGGGGATCCGTATGTACTCGTATGTAATGTAGGGATGACCTAGCAGTATATTTGCGTGACCAATGTCAATGACTTCCTCAGAGATACATATTCTGGACTAAAATATTTAAAACAATTTTCTTTTTGACCAAATAGAGAAATAAGTGAAATTTTAAGTTCTATCACATGCTTTATAGTCTATCTAAAGAGAACTTGCTTGACAAGCCTATTCATAAAATGTTCATGTCAATAGATGTCACATCATTGTACCTAAACAGCCAGCAATGTGAATTATCTGTTGTGGAATTCGAAAGAGGATTACCAATATTAGCAACATATTATAGATAGTATAAATATTAGCAAACTGAAACAAAGTTCCAATATTCAACCTTTTACAGTGTATTATAAACCTGTCAAGGAATTCGGAAGATTTAAAATAGTTTGGCATTGTTTCATAACAACGGAAACAGCGTTTAACCTCACTAGCTATTAGGGTACGCACGTATCTCCATTGTGTCAAGTGAGAAAAGATTTCAGTAGTTTGTTAACAAATATTTATTCTGGAGTTCACGCTCTTTACGCAACGTGACGCAACAAACGTACACAGTCGACGTAAAAACGTGATTAAGGACTTTTACGCACAGTAAACGTGTATACCTAAGGTGAAGTTTTCAGGTGTGTTGTTTGCAATGTCATTTTGGAATGCTTGGATCTGAGAAACGAAAGGTGAAAGGGTCACGATCATTCTAGAACTGTGTGTTTATTTCGTCATATATAGATATTTACCCGGACTTTACTTTAAGATTGAAATCGACACCAATCAAGAATGCTTATTGGACACGAAATGGACCTACGGATCGTTCTGTTTTTATGTCGTTGTTAGTATTTTTTCTTGGTATTTTTCTTGATTCTGTGGTTGTGAATAAATCAACTTTCTCTTTGACAGCAGGGTCAATCGCTTTGAATTTTCAGTGGTAAAATATTGTTGTTGTATTCTATTGTTTGCTAGAAGCTTTGACATTTGCTAGAAGCTTTGCTAGCGTTTTTACATATTAACTATGGTGGAATGTTTGTTTCAACCATGCTTTAACAGATCATTTTTTAATAATTCTGAAAATAATTAAAAGTAATAGATTCACTGCAATCCTAGATGTAATTGTAACTTCAATTTCGATATTTTCAAATTCTATTAATTTTTCCGCGCTT